TGTGACTTTATTTGCTTTGCCCAGGTATAAGAGGAGTACAGGAAGAATTCTAGTGAAATTGTGAGGTGTATGCCTGTCTTGTGTCCTCTTACATTGCAGTTGTATTTGGGGCTTCTGTGTTGTTTCTCCTAGAGATAATTTAATCTGTTTGGCTTGAGTTTTTAATCTCCTGGCTTGAGTTCACAAGCGTTTGTACAGGACCCTGTTTCTAGAGACAGTTGTACATGGGATATTGGAGTAGTGAGTGCTGGTCCTGTATTTTTAGGAATGAAGCCTAGCAATGTTTGAAGCAGAGCACCCTATGAATAGCAATCTCCATCCTAAATGGACAGACCTTGTCAATTCTGAGAAGCCCTAAAGGGAAGAAGCAGAAAAGCACAGGAAGGGGAAGATGTTGCTAGCTTCCCTTGCCTTATGCAAAAATTGTCGCCACTTTCCTGAGCACCAGATTCACGTGGTACTCTTTCCTACACCACTCTCAATTACTTTGTGTTGTTGGAAGATTTAAACTAATTTCCAGGAATTGTGATGCGCTGGACTGAGGAATAAGCCAGAGCATAGTTATGAGAGGGTACCTGAGGCTGTGGTTTGGGATGGTGGGGTAATTGTTATGATTGAAAGTATCTATTCATGTTGCAATCCCTAATCCTCTTTTTGCTAATTTATTCAGCCTGTTACCACTATGATTTTTAGTATGTAATCATGCAAACTCATGTTAAATGTCCCATGTAAGGATTTGCTAATGCTAGCTCTTATTGTTTGGTTTTGCCTGGTAGTGCAGAAAGTGTTGGTCAGGGACATTTGGCCTTAAAAGAAAAATCACAGAAGAAAACTTGAGGTAATATGTCTTACTCAAGATTGTATGCTTTGTTGGTATTTCTTATCTTCAGGTGTGTCACTCCTCTATGGACTATTTTATGTTGAATCTTTAGGATGGCCAAGGTTCTTCCCAAGACTATTTAGGGAAATGAACATTAGGGACTTCTCAAACCTGGGTTTAACTCATCTTTACTCATGTCCCTTTGGCCAAAACATGTTAAATGGCAAATTACAAGTGATTGCATAGGTGTGCAATTGGTATAGTGAAATGTGCCTCTTGACAATCATTATTGAAATATTATAACACAAGAAATATAGTCTGTATACATTTTTCTCTCTAACTTTGGTGAAAACTACTCAGTTCCATCACACATGCTTTCCCAGGTGTTTAAATATGTAAATGAATGAAGTAGAACACTAATTCCAATGGATTCCTAGGATACCTTTGTATTAAAAAAAGCAATTCCTACATCCCCAAGTATATTCAGTAATAAATACTTTTAGTGGAAATGTGATATGTTTTTGCTTTCAATTATTCAATAATTTTTTTGGGAACATTCAATTTTTTGAATTTAATGTGTACATAAACATAGAAATTAGTGGTTTAATAATATCTATCTACCAGGAAATGGACTGGATTTGTGTATTGGGCACTTTAATGCTCTGCTTGAAACATTAAAGATACTTCTCATATAAGACAGCTTTATGGTTTTGAAGCCCATGGTTCATGTTTGCAAGAGATAATTCTGGACCCAAAATCTCACAGATTCATTTCTGAATACGTCATTTGCCTTATATCCCAGCCATGCTTCCAGAGTCTTTTGTTCATTGTCAGCAGCCAGACAGAATGAATGGATCTCTGGTGAGTGTTTTTTTATTTCTCATTTGTTTTCCATTCCCTTATATGAATCTAAAGATGTCCAAGAATTACAAACAATACCAACTGCACAGATTCAGCCTCAAGAACATATTCATAAATCAGATAAAGATGGCTTGTAGATTAGGAGATAAAGATTACTTGTAGGTTTAGCAGATTAAATGGTTATATTCTTTCTAAGTTGATTTCAGATTGGCTTCAGAATGTCTAGGTTTTATCTTGTCATAACATGTAGTCATATCTGTTAAGTGATGTAGTGACACAAAGCAGGTTACATCTCATGGAAGGTGAAGGGTAGATTGTAACTAGATCTCATCCTCATGAGTAACATTAAACTATCTCAATGAAATTTTCCTGGAATTGCTGAAATAGTGTGGTCATACGCACCTTCGTGTGTTCTTAAGGAATGATTAACCTATATGTACTTACATTACTCTCCATATATACTTCTTGGACTACTTCATGGTCTTGGTCTCACTTGAAGCTGAGGCTATATTTGTTGCTAAACTTTATGGTCTTTTTACAAAATCTTGTTTGTTTTCTAAAGTATCCTCACAAGATTACTTTCCTCTATAATCTCCCTCTACTTTTGATTTTCTACTTACTTGTGTTGGTTATTTTTCTCTTTCTCTCTCTTTGTATCTATCTTTTATCATTTTTTCTTACTTTTCTTATTCTCTCTTTCCTCCGTGTGTCTCTCAGTTGTTTCTTTTCTTCAATGATCTATCTGGAAACGAGTTTTTCTTAGTGATTAGTTTTACTTTGCTGACATGGCTCTTAGGATTGACATTTTTCTTACCCACTGTATAGGAAAATTGTTGCCTAGAGAGTTCTACAGGATTCCAGAAACAAAGAAAATTAGAGAAACACAAAAACATAAACAGATAGATTTAGGGGAAACCAGGGTTCTGAAGCCTCTCTGGCACTTGGTCTCTGGTTGCCAGCAAGCAAACATAGTTCCTTGAGTTCACACAGGGAAGATTACCATTGATAACATGCAAAATCGAAGTATCTATATTAAGATTACAATCTGAGCCACAACAGGTTGTGAGGAAAACATGTTTCCTTATTCTCCTGAGACAGAAGACTGGCGCCCAGAGAAAATGCAGACATGAAGTTCACCTTACCTAGCCTTCAAGGTGAACAGCAGCTCCGTTTCAGATGTTATCTTACCAACAGTAAGGAAAAGGCCTGCACTCCAATTTCTTAACCCTCTCCAGAATTCTCTTTAAGCCTTCTGCAGCCAGCTCTCAGTGCTCTCAATGCTGTCAGGCTGGAATTCCAACCTCTCAAACCTTTTCCTTCTTCAGCTCAACTTCAGAGTTCCATACAGAAAAGTACGACTTTCCCGTAAATGATAAACTACAAGAAAATTTGATTTCACCTGATTCTGTTATCTTTGGTCTAACTTCATTAGTTGTGGTACTGTTTTGTTTTTCCATACCACTACTTTTAAATATTTTCATTCACTGCCAGTATACGATAGGTAGTTATAAAAAAAATAATAATTCAGTAACCAGGTTTTCTCTATTAGAAATATCTTTTGTTGCAAAATGTCACAGTTGTTTGTTCAGGAATTGATTATGATCTCTGAGGAATTTAGCTATTAACCAACACAAGTGGAAATATTTCCTTAGGGATCTACTGGAGAAATGACTGAGTAATATGTAACACATTTGAGCATTTGGTCATATTTATCATTTTTGTCATCTTGAGTGTTCCTTGATCCTGTATAAATTTGCCTCCACCTTCCATGAAGGCCTATTAAAATGAAAATCCTGTCAAGGAACATTTTTTTCCCTTGCCACCTATATTTTGTATTGTAGAATGTAGGGAAAGTTTAGAAAACTTCATGGTAGCAGTTCTTTTTTACATAGGAAGGAAATATCAGGGTATCTATGACCACATTTCACTCTTTAGTGTTTTACCTAGGATATTTTTATGTGGGAATTAAATCAAATCTTATAAGGGCCCAATAAATCATTAGCTACTTTCTGGAGTACTGTTACTGTTTTTTAACATTCATGTGGACACTGCTTCTCATTGGTCTAGTAATGATATATGTTCCGTATACCTTGTGATATCCTGAATGTGTTCTGCTTGCTTATGAGACAGTACTTAATAGAAGGTCTAAATAGGATTTATGGTGAAGCAGTATATGTAAATGCATAAAAAATATTTGTTTAATTCATTGTTACCTTGATATGTACTAAAATTTTATCAAACATGATAATATAAATTTTTTAAATATGTTTTTATTGTGAACATACTGTACAGAGGGGTTACAATTACATGGGCAACATAATGAGCACATTTCTTATCAAGCATTGTAGCCTCCTGCTTTGTTTCTCCTTCCCATCCTTTCGTATCCTCTCCCCCCTGTCCCCCCCAACGAAGTTGTAAAGTTCGTTTATCAGCATAATGACTTGTACAGATAATATAATTTTTTAGACACCACCTTAGACTTAATGTTGTCATGCCAGATTATTGGGTCCTTACTTTTTTTTTTTTTTTTTTTTTGCCTGTCATGGGTCTGAACTCTGGGCCTGGGCACTGTCCCTCAGCTCTTCAGCTCAAGGCTAGCACTCTACCACTTGAGCCTCAGCCCCACTTCTGGCTTTTTCTGCTTATGTGGTGATGAGGAATCAAACCCAGGGCCTCAAGCATGCAAGGCAAGCACGCTACCACTAAGCCACCTTCCCAGCCCCTATCCTTAGAATTTTTATCTTGTCTCTATTGCTACCAGCAGAAATGTGTTTGCATGCATTAGGGAATCTGTAACTTTTTATATTTTTTTGGCTTGAATTCTGGGCCTAGTTGTTGTCCCTCAGCTCTTCAGGTCAAAGTAAGTGCTCTACCACTTAAGTCATAGTGCTACTTTCAGTTTTCTGGTTGTTTATTGGAGATAAGTGTCTCATGGACTTTCCTGCCTGGGCTGGCCTTGAATCTTGATCCTCAGACCTCAGCCTCCTCAATAGCTAGGATTACAGGCATAAGTCACCAGCGCCCTGCAAATCTGTGTATTTTAATGGCCAGGTTTATGTATTGTCAAATATTTCTAATTTTCTATTTAATTTTCCCAGTGAATAGATAACACAGCCAGCTGCAAACATTTTATGTAAGACAAAAGCATACCTGCAGTATAATGAAGTTTCAGATTTGGAATTCTCATGACCAAGGTTTAATTTCTTGATGGAAATGTGCCATTACAGAAACTGGTGTCATTTGATGATGTGGCTGTGTACTTCACCTGGAAGGAGTGGCAGGATCTGGATCCTGGTCAGAGGACCCTTCATAGAGATGTAATGCTGGAGACTTATAGCAACCTCTTGTCCTTGGGTGAGCAAAGGTCGCTTTTATTTGGAAGATCAAGTGCTTTTATTTTAGTAGACATTTGACTATGTTATTTAGGTATAAGATTCCAGTCCATTCTGAGATAAAGAACTGCTAGTATAAAAGCCAGCCAAATTCAGGTCTGGTATCTTGGTGTTGTTTGCCTTTCATGCTACTGCATGAGCCATTTTGGCTTTTGTTTTGGGGTATATTCTGGGTTTCTGTGCCCAGGTTGGTTTCAAGCCTGCCTCTTCTGATCTCACCTTCTAAGTGTAGGTTTACAGGTGCAAATCTTTGGACCATTAAATTTTCTAAAAAAAAAAAAAAAAAAGGATTCCACTCCATAGGACATGTCATTTCCTTCGAAAGGAACCTTTAACTTCATTGTATGTAACTCAAGAGCTAATTTTATTCTAATTCTTTTTTGTGGTTGTTGTTTGGTCCCATCATGGGGCCTGTCCCTCAGCTCTTCACCTCAAGGCTAGCACTCTACCACTTGAGCCACAGTGCCACTTCTGGCTTTTTTTCTTTTTGCTTATGTTGTGCTGAGAAATCAAACCCAGGGCCTCAGGCATGCAAGGTGAGTGCTCTACCACTGAGCCACCTCCCCAGCCCTTTATTCTCATTCTTTAAGAAGGCAAATTAGTAGTTGGATAAAAGTTCTAAACTATGATCCACTAACAGCAAACTGACTTCCAAGACTTGGGGTCATTATTATAGGTGGATCTACAGTCTAGATAGAATATACATTACTACTCTCAGTATGATCTGGAAATCAGTAGTGGAAAGTGTGAAAGTGTGTATTTGTAAGCCAAACCTGACATAGGATGCAGTGCTTCAAGCTTGGAATCCTAGATACTCTGTAGGCTGAACTCTGAAGATTTTGATTTGAAGCCAGCAATTGTAGAAAAGTGAACATGAGAATCTTATCTCCAATTAACCATTCAAAAACTAGAAATGTAGCCAAGACACAAACTAGTAGAATGCTAGATTTGAGCAAAAGAGCTGAGTTCAAGCCACACATTGGCAAAAAAAACCCAAAGCTGGGGGAAAGTCCACCATGGAGCTGTTAAGAATTGAGAAACCATCAGTTGGCAAGGTGGCTCAGTGGTAGAGCGCTTGCCTTGCATGCTTGTGGCCCTGTGTTCGATTCCTCAGCACCAAAAAAGCAGGAAAAAAAGCCAGAATTGGCATTCTGGCTCAAGTGTTAGAGTGCTAGCCTTGAGCTTAGGAGGTGAGAGACAGTTCCCAGGCTCAGAGTTCAGGCCCCACAACAGAACCTACCGCCCCCCCCCCCCAAATAAAACAATTGAGAAACCAGATTTAGGAGCAACCTTGTGAACGGGATGTCTACCACCTTACATTAATGATGACACAGCAAGAGCAATAATTCTCCACTATTTCGTATTCACAGGGCACTGTGTTCCTAAACCTAAACTGATTGTGAAGCTGGAACAAGGTGCAGAACCATGGATAACAGAAGGCTCAGAAGAGAATTTCACAGGTGAGTTAAAGCATCTTGAATAGTGATGATGGGTCCAGAGCCCAGTTTGTCTGTTTGTCTTGAGTTGTACAGAGCAATAGTATTTCTAGTGCCCCTGAGTCATGTGTGGCAAAGAACTAGGTGATCCTTTGTCTCAAGGAATTGTCAATCCAGAATTCATGTGGAGACAAACTGAATTTGGTGTAACAGTGTAGTAATTGTTAGCAATTCTTTTTGTCTGTAGAGAGGTCATTCTTAAAGAGAAAAAGACAATGAGAAATGTAGACAGGAGAGCTCATTTTCTATTACACTAGTATTATGCAGGCAGGAGGAAAATAGGAGTATGCTAGGGCTGCTATTCTCTGATTGGGACAATTTCTTATCAGTGGTGCTGGGCATAGAGGGCGATTCAGAATGGAAGCATTAATAGTACGTAGATGGATAATTTGAGTCAATATTTCCTGGAGAATAACATAAAAATCTGAAATACAGAAAAACACTATTTTGCATTGTAAAATGTCAGTACTACTTTCTTAATTACTACATTGCACAGAAATGTATATATTCTGCATAAAGCAATGCTTTCATATTTGAAAACCTTGCAACAAATTGTGAGGAAATATCTTTACATTAAGGAATTTATGGATCTCATTTATGTTTTTGTCTATTTTTCTAATATTCATTTTAGATGTCCCAGAAATGGAGGATGTGATTAGCACCTGTCAGGAAAGTCACAATAAATATCTATCTGAAGTAGCCGTCATGAATAGTAACCCAGAGGAGGCAAAAGTGAGACTGATAAAAAGTTTTCATTTGAGCTCCATACAGAAGTCAGAACTGAATAAGAATAATGCGAACTCCATAGGGATGAGGATAGAAAAGGTCGCTGGCTGTCAGAACATGGGTGTTTTCAGTGAACCTGGTAAGATGTGTGCTGCATATAGTCCTCATGGGTCTTCTATAGTTGATGAATGTAAAGAGAATGAAAAGTCTTTCACTGAGAAGACACACCCTGTTGTCCCTCAGAGAACACACACAGGAGAGAAACCTTATGATTATAACATGTGTCAAAAGTCTTTCACCCAGAAATCAAAGCTTTCTGTCCACCAGAGAACACACACAAAAGAGAAACCTTTTGAATGTAACATTTGTGCAAAATCTTTCACAAGAAAGGCATATCTTCCTAGCCATGAGAGAACACACACAGGAGAGAAAATTTATGAATGTAACATGTGTGGAAAGTCCTTCACCTGGAAGTCAAATCTCACTGTCCATCAGATAACACACACAAGAAAGAAACCTTATGAATGTAACATGTGTGGAAAGTCTTTCATCCAGAAATCAAAGCTTACTGTTCACCAGAGAACACACACAAAAGAAAAACCTTTTCAATGTAACATTTGTGGAAAGTCTTTCTCCTGCAAGTCATACCTTACTAGACACCAGAGAACACACACAGAAGAGAAACCTTATGAATGTAACATGTGTGGAAAGTCTTTCGCCAAGATGGTATACCTTACTGTCCACCAGAGAACACATACCAGAGAGAAACCTTATGAATGTAACTTGTGTCCAAAGTCTTTCACCCAGAAATCAAACCTTACTGTCCACCAGAGAAGACACACAGGCGAGAAACCTTTTGAATGTAACTTATGTGGAAAGTCTTTCACCTGGAAGTCAAACCTCACTGTCCATCAGAAAACACACAGGAAAGAAACCTTATGAATGTTATATTTGTGGAAAGATTTTCAGCCACAAGCTACACCTTACTGTCCACTAGAGAGCACACACAGGAGAGAAATTTTATGATTGTAACCCATGTGGAAAGTCTTTCACCCAGAACATACACCTTTCTGTCCATCAGAAAAAATCCACCAGAGAGAAATGTTATGAATGTAGCAGGCATGGAAATTCTTTTACCTGGAAGGCACACCATAACATCCATCACAGAACACAAAGAGAGAAACCTTATGAATGCAACCAGTGTGGAAAGACCTGGAGGTCACAGCTTAACCCAAATAAGTTGATTCACACAAATGAAATAACTTAGGATTGTACCAAATGGGAAAGTCTTTGATCTGTAAGAAAATTGAAATTGCAATACAGAACCAATACAGGATAGAGACCTTATGATATAGCAGATGTGGAGTCCTCCAACTACAAGACACAGCTCAGGGTTCATCACAGAACACACAAAACACACAGACACACACACACACACACACCCTCACACACAAAGAGGAGAGAAATCCTATGTAGGAAAAATAAATGGAAAGGTTTTCAAGAAAAGTCCTAACTCAGTTTACATCAGAGAACAGACACAGGCGAGAAAATACAAATGTAACAATTGTGGAAAGTCCTTTACCAAGTGTTCATGGATCCAAGTTCATAGGACACACACAACGGTGTAGTCTTAAAAATATTACACATTTGGAAATCCTTTGATAAGAAAGAAATACCTCATCAGAGAACTGACTCATAGGAGAAAAGAAAGTAGTGTATAGAACCTATGTGAAATGACTTTCGATCAGAACTGAGTCCTCAGCATATATGAGAACATAGACAGGAAAGAAATTATGACTATAGAAAACATTTTGCCAGAAGTCCCATCTGTACAGGTATCAGAAACCTGGACACATGAGAGGAAATCTTTCAACAAGAAGCCAACCTTCAGCAAGTATTAGAACATTCACCCAGGAAAGAAGCCCAATGTAGGAAAATCTTTGTCAGAAAACCTCTGTAAATTATACAGAGAAATCCTTCATGGCAGACATAAGCTAGGTGTGATGGGAAACCATTCTTCACTCTTCAGCTCTCTTTGAGCCAACATTTCTCATCCTCTCATCGTGTGGGTATGGTGTCCTTCGATATTTTCCCAAGCAGTCTTGACAAGTAATTCAGAGATTGAAGTTATTAACTGTGTCTTTTATACTAAGAAATGGTGTGTCAGGGCAATTTGATAAACTCTTCTTAGAACTATGAGCTCTGGCCCTTTGGGACTGGATTCAGATCATCTGCAACATGGTTAGGGGAACAATAGATGAGTAAAGACTGTTATGATAGGAGGCAAATACATGGGAACAACCATTTATCTACTGCTCCCTTAAGTCTCCCTCTGTATGTGTAATCCATGCCTTATAGTACAAATGACTTACTTATTCTGGTTCAAGTTTGGAATGGAAGATCTAATGGAAGATATTAGTCTGTATTGCAGTACATACATAGTAGTAAAGTCTTTCTCAGAGGGGTAACAATGCTCCATAGGAAATGTATTCATGACCTAACTCATATAATGGTATAACCCATCTATACAGTATCTTTACAATAAAATATATATTTTAATAAATATGGTTCATAAATAAAGACAAGAAACTCTGCATTTTGCCTTGGGGGATAATCCCAAAGTGTCTTCAGTTCTTGCACTTTTCTTTAATTAATCACTGGTGATGAGCAACTTGTGATTGATTCACTCTCAGCCCATTTAGCTGTTCTCTTGAGTGAGCTATAATAAAACACCAGTGTGGACGATGTGTCATGCCTCTGTTTTTTCATAGAGGGCCAATGCAGATATGACATTAGGGGAAATAATCAAGCACACAAATATATTAACCAATCTCTCACAAAAATTGAAATTAACAAAATAATAAAATCATCTGTCACCTGAGATACAGCATCACTTCTAGGCTTTGAGAGGAAGAAAGGAAGGAAGGAAGGAGGGAAGTGCGAGTGGGAAAGAGGAAGGGAAGGAATGATGAAGAAGGAAGGAATAAACTATTCAAAACTAGAATGTTTAATTTTTGGTGAATATGAGAATTATTCTTTCAGAGGTGGGCCTCAAGAAAAATGGCTTTTACAAAAAGCAAATTCTTGAGCTGGTTACAAAATGATTAAGAGGTTGTAACATTTTGTAAATAGATTTAATAATTCAGTAATATTAAGTAAGGAGGTCAGGTTTGGCTGGTGCCCTATTGGCCATATGGTGGATGGTGGGGTCTAGCATCTTGTCTTCATGCAGGGAGATGGAAATGCCCCATCCATCACTTGCCTCCCAACTGATGGGTGTGGCTAGGTCCCTGGAAGCAGGCATGGGCATTTGGCTGATATGTTACTCAATCTGTTAGTCCAGTGCCTGGGACTGGGAATTTCCTGTGGACCTGCCTCATGCTTAAGCCCTATTCAGGGTGGACCAACAGTTGCACTAGATACCATGGTAAATATCTCTGTGATCATGTCCTCTGTCCTGTCTCCTGGCTTGTCTTTGGTCTTCATAGTGTCCCAATTCAACACTCTCTTGGTGCTGATTGGTTTCTTGGTGTTGGTTTTATTCTTTTTTTTCCCCTTTCTGTCCTGTTTCCAAGCTGTCTAATTGTATTTGTGGACTGCAAGTCTTTGTTTCAACAGGCTGCTTGCAGACTGCTAGCTGTATAATACACTGCAGTATTCCATCTTCCAAAATGTGGCTTCCAACAAATATACTGTCTACTTTTACAGAAACACAAAGGTTGACCTAAATTTAGAATTTCTAGAGCTAAGATAGATGCCAGTGTAGAGTTATGTAATCCTGGAGGTCTTTAGAAAAAATGTCTGTTATATCAGAAAGTGCTTAATTAGTAAACCAAGACTAAGACTCCAGATCCTATAAATGCCACTCATTCTAGATATGTCCAGAGCTGTTTGGTTACATGAAGAGCTCTACTTTCACACTTTCATGAAGGAATATTTTTGTGCAAATATGAGGTGTTGAATTTAGGATCTGAGTTGAAGCCAGCCAGAACTGGCTTCAAAGGAGATTCTCTCATCTTGGCCTCCATAAAAGCTAGGATTCAAAGCATGAGCCCTGTGGGCTGTTCTGAAGAAATCTTTCTCTGGTAACAGGAGGTTTGCTTCAGTGTTTCAGCTCAGGCTTCCTGTGGTTTCAACAATTTCTGTATTTATTTCAATTGTTCAAAAATAATAACTCCTCTTTTCAGTATTTTCACAATAAAAAAAGAATCCTTAAATCCTGTCTATGATTCCATTTACAAGATAAGGACAGTGGACTTCACATTGCAAGATTTTATAGTAGTTGCTCACTTAAGCCCTTCCCCAGTTGTGTGGCCTGAACTCTAGGCCTGGGTGCTGTCCCTTATCTCTTCAGCTCAAGGCTTGCACTCTACACTTGAGCCACAGCGCCACTTCCAGCTTTTTTTTTCTTTTTGCTTATGTGGTGCTGGGGAATCGAACCCAGGGCCACATGCATGCAAGGCAAGTGCTCTAACACTGAGCCACCTTCCAGCCCAAACCTTCTGCTTATCTACAGAGGCCTAGTTAAAAAAAATAGGGGGATTGGGAGGCACCTGTGCCCTTGGCCTTCCTACTTGTACCACACACACACACACACACACACACCATCCATTTGGAAATAGTTCATTCTCCCATGTTTACAAACTGGATACTTTCTGAGAAGGGATGGTTCACAGACCAGAGTCCTACCTAGGCTTGTTATATAGCTCAAATTATGAACCAAGATAGCACATTCATTCAAAGTATGCCTGATGATAACTTATTTAATTTTTTTTATTATTTCTGTTATTATCATTTGGCCAACACTTTACTTGAACTCAGAATGTAAGGGACTTAATGCTCACTGAATTGGTAAAATACCTTTCCTTCTTTTAATTTAAGACCAGCAATTACACTCCCTCATGTCTTGAATCCTTGCTACTCAGGAAGCTGATATTAGATAGTATTTGTAGGCCATCCCATGCAAATGCTTCATGAAAATGGTATCTTAGC